TTTTTCCTGAAGGCCCTCCGTTCAGGCACTTTGCCCATTGCAAAACGCCGCCTTATGTGTGCGGTGCCCAACTGCGCCACCCCAATAAGTAGCGACCGTATCGCGGTGCATCCCGAAGAAAGCCGGATTCGGTGTTGCAGTTGTGAAAATTTAGCTTCCTAAGTAATGAACTCAGTAAAAGACCTTGGCGTCACGATGGGGCATTTCCGCGATACTATGGAGGAGTGGGGTGTGACGTTTTAAATGCGAAAAAGCGCTAATTGACAATTTCAGAAGATGTAGAAGCAGCTGGCCCAGACGCATTGGCGCCTGGAGCAATCGCAGGCGGAACCGGAAGCAGCCCGCAAAAGCGAACAGAGCTGGGGCGCGACGGGTAACATCACCCCCGCCATTCTACCAAATGGGTGTCACACAGGAGGCCCCGAAGAGAACCCCACCAACACGCCCACCACAGGCCAGCGGGCGAACGCCGCCCGGTCCGTTTTTTTGGGCCGGACACTATGTAAAGTAAATGGGGGTAATGGCCCCCCAGATTTTTGGAGCGCGATATAAAGGATTTAGGGCAGAAAAGGCGGGGGGAAGGGGTCGCCCGGGGGGCGCCATTCGAACCAATAAGGGCTTCATGGGGTATTTTCCGAACGCCCCGCCAAGAAACCCTTCGGCCGCGCGCCTTGTCATTTTACAGCTTCCGGTCGCACAATCCCGATCCCAGACGGATGCGCGGGAATGTTTTCAATTTAGGGCGCGTCGCATGCGCCAAGCGACGCCCACCGCAAAGGTGGCTCGATTGGGCCGAAAGCTCTGCCTGAATTTGCGACCCTTCCGCCCCAGCAGCAGTAACCCAGGGGTTTGGCTGCAAGATGGGCCGGGGTAATTGAATGATCCCTTTGTGAAGGGCGATGCCATCGCACAGGTTTTTCACAAAACCACGAAGAAGTACGCCCCCCACCCCTCAACACCGAGCAAAGCGCGGTATTATTGATGCGGGGGGGGGGGGCCGGCAAGCACCGTAGCACCTGCCATTTGAGCGGCGAAAACCCCGCAACTACGAGAAAAAAAGAGCACCGGCCGGGAAACAATGAATTTGAGGCTATCAGGTTATGTGGATCCTTGCGTCGTGGTTGGCGCGGCGCGAACCATATTGCGCGAGGTCAAGCCATCGCATCTTGTACCCATCACGAGGGTGGGCGCAGACCGGGCGTTTTTCCACCAGCACGGGAACGGGCGGAACAGCCCAGGCGTAAACTCCGTTTGGCTGCCCGGGCTCGCAAAAGAAGAGGGCGCACCGATGTTGCGCAAGAGACGCCCCCAATTAGCGAGCAGCGCCCCCATTATGTTTCCTCCGAACCGCCACCCGTACGCCAGGGCCCTCGCATTGGAGGAAAACGGGCATGCACTGCATATGCGAAACTCTTCTGTGTGGTGCCAAATGGGGTCCGTTATGCGCTGGTTTTGCCGGTTTGTGGTGGCGCGCGGCTTGGGCATTTGGGGAGAAAGCATTCCTTTATTTTTCGTAAGGCTTCAGTTGGCCTAGGGCAATGCGATTCAATACACAAGAACATTTGTGAGTCTGTTAGCCGCATGGCGAATGCCGGCGCAAATGTTTCTTGTCAGCCGCCGGAAACCCACGGCCGGCGACCCTATCAAACAAGCACGGCCCATGTTGCACTGGAAGCTCGACATGGTCAAAGACACTATGGCGCGGGAATGCAACCGCGTCGCTTTAAAGCCGGCCTGGTTGACAGCCAGCCGTTGGGGCGAAACGGCGTTTCTCAAGAAGGGAAATGTCGCGGACCACCCGGGCAACAAAGGGTCATATTCGTTAATTGAGGGGCTTCCCCATAAATTTACAAGGGCGACCCCCACCGTGCGGCACGGTGCGTGGTTATAGGTGGGGGTGTGGGGGTGTCGGCTCCGAAAAGGGTTGTCGGGTGCTTGCGGGCATGGGCGAAAGAAAACCCTTACCGAAATCACCGCCGGCGGCATGAAAAAAACCCCCCACCCATACGGAATGACAGCCCGCCCAATTAAAAGAGGAGCGTTGGCGCACACAGCTGTGGCCATGGTGGAATGCGATTTGAACCCCTGCTTGCTGGCGGGGCTTGGAAAACACGGGGGCCCACCAGAGCCCCCCAAGGGCGCAGCGCGATATCCGGGCCGTTGGGCCGCGACTGCCAATAAGCCCGAGGAGCCAACGCCGTGAACGTGGCACGCCTAGCGGGAGGGGCAAGCCAACTGCGGATTTCACTTGTATTGAAGGAGGGGCGGCTGCGGCATTTATCCCACGGCCGCGGCGTTTTGCGGCGCACAAACGGAACAAGGGCAGCCCCACGTGAGGAAGAAGGGGGTTGCCGTTGCCGCAGGTGGGCGTGGGCACGGTCCCCCTTCCTTGGATCCGACGCGGGCCCAATGCAAAGGTGCGTCGGCTTTTTAACTCGGCATGGGGGATCTTGCGTAGCCCAACAGCGGCGCCCCAGGAGGCATACGAGACCACCTTGTGAATCTCAGTGCGGGGAGGGCATCTCATGAAAAGGACGGCGCCATCAGCACAGATTCGGCACATCGCGCCTCATGATGGGTGATGCCGTTCGCGGCGGTAGGGGGCAAACCGACTGGTCAGCAGCGGCGGTTTGTCGTGTAGAATAAGAAAAAAAAACGCCAAAAATGACTACGAAGCAAGGGTCCTCTTGTGATATGTTTTCCAGTATGTGAGTGGGGTTTTTGACGAAACGACCGCTTTGTTTGATGTAAAGGCTTCATTTTGTTCAAGTTGCTTTACCCAACGCCATACGTGCAAATTTTTGGCGTAGGAAAGAATCCGGTGGGCTCGTAGAATAAAACCGCCTTCCAATGTGGCCAAAATGCAGTTGTGAGGCACTGTGCGCCATTATGGGGGTTTCGGTGGGGCACTCTGAGGCCGTAGAGCCACGTTATGCTGCATTGAACGGAATTCGGATTTACATATGAATTAATAACGTGCGCATCCGTAAACCATTACCCCTACCGGGTCAATGGGGGAAACGCACATCACCGAATATAAGCCCGTGCGGAACCACAGTCAGCAATCAGCAAAGATCCTGTAAAGAATGCGTATTTATAAGAGTTCATTTAAATCACGTTTTGCAGACAGTGTTTCTAAGTCAAAAAACTTTGGGACAACTACGGGACACACCGTCATTCTACATTTTGTCGGTAAAATAAATGGAAAGTACGACACCCCGCATAATGTATACGGCCGGCTGATAGGAAAACTCTCTTTTCCCCTATTGCTTTTTCCCTAAAGATGGTGTGCCAGCGCTTGTCGTGGTTGAACGCTGGCCTGCTACGTCCACGGGTTGCAGCCGGTTCACACCCACACGGCGCCAACCTGGCCCAGCAATGACTAGAAGAATTGTTGGCTTATGGATAAGTTTGCCCGCACCCCCACGCCAGACACCACCTTCCGCAACGATGGGCACGGCCGCCCCCACGCACGGACAGAGCGCCTTGTGATTTAGGGAATTGGGGGAAGTAGTGGTCGCCGGCGGTGTTGGAAGAAAGCGACCCACATGATTTCTCAAGCGGAAAGCCGCGCAGTTCGCCTGGTCCCGCAGGCCTCCCATCGCCAACCCGAGGGGCTTTGCATATATTGGTAGAAAACGCAACCTTGATACATATAATGGCAAAAAGCAACACACACTCAGAGAAGCTGGTGTGAGAAGCTGCCGCCATAGATTTGGCACTTCGGGGCCCCAATGTGAGCGCTGCGTGGCGTCAGGTGGCCTCGGGCAATAATCCTGCGGGCGGCATTTCCAGAAGTCAGTGCGTAAAAGTGCTTGGCCTAGCGAAGAGGTAGAAGGTGCGAAGAGAAGTGCGGGATGTGGGTTAAGGGCGCTTTCTACTCTTCTATTTCGTAAATTTTAAATGAGCTCTAAAGAAAAACTTTCGATTTCTTTTCTCTCGGTAAGGGGGTTTCCCGTGTACGAAGAAGAACGAAACGAAGCACGCTTTGGAAACAAGAATATTTTATTCTTCTCTTCCTTCACTCTTGAGCACAAGTAAGGCACAAATTATTCTTTGCTGAATGTGAAGCGGATATTTTTTGAAGGACTCCCCCCAAACAAGAAAAATGGTACGCAAGTGCTCGTGCTGAATCAAAAAAACGTTGTCTTTCTGTAGTGTACTGCACTTCTTTTGAGAAATTTAAAACTTATAATAAAGATGCCTTGGTGATGCCGGCCGCCGCATCGTGGCACCAAGGCCCTGTACCCCGTATCGCCGGGGAAAACCAAGCGCCAGCAATGTTCGCCATTTGGAGAGCATTGCGGCGCCAGGCTTGCGGCATCACACAGCACCAGGGCCAGCCGCGCCTTGCTTGGACACAGTGTTATCTTTCCCGGTCTTGGGGCGCATGTTGCCGCGCCGTCAGAAGCATCATTCACACCAAGTTTCTGCTTGGCGGAAATGTGAAAGAGAATCCCGGCCCTACATTGAGGGGCATGCAATGGAACTCAGCTGGGCTAACACAAGCCAAACGTTTTTTTTTTAGCACTCGACTGTGTAGAGTCTCCGTTATCACGGACTTCCCTTCACTCCTCATGGCACTCCAAACAGGCCCCCTGACAGCAACAGACCCCATATTACGACTACTATGAAACCCGTTATTGGACCTGCAACACCGCAAGGCCCGCGCACGGCTACAATTGATATTTGGCCACTGTGGCATTGCAAAGAACGAGGCATGTGATAAGGAAGCCAAGGCGGCCTCTGACCTACCGCAGCGCGGGGACACGTGAATTCCGGATGTAGTTGCGCTGGCCAAACGTCACATACGTACCCAGCTGCCCAAACCATCCACCCACCGCTCCAGCATCACAGGCCATTGGAACCCGACACGCAATGATCCCAGCTTAACTCGGGAAGAAGAGGCGGCCCTAGCTCGTTTTCGCACAGGTGTACCCCACCGCTACGGCTGGCTACTGCGAGTATTACAGCCCACCACACTAAATACATTCAGGTGGTGCAACCCCATAGAACACCCTCCGCCACTCAAAAAGCCTCGAATAGAAACGCCTGCAGCAAACACAGAGGCAGCGCCTTTGCGTTTCCGTGATCCGGTCAACTGCCCGGTATGTCAAACCCGTTATGGCTGTCGGTCAAGCGCTGTGGTTCACATGGTCAACAAACATGGATTCACACGTGCCCGCGCACTCTGGAAAGTCAAGCACCCCACAGCTGAGGAGCCGCCGGGCATCCCGCCAGAACCCCATCCCCCAGCACCAAGGTCCAAACGCACAGCACCGGACACAACAAGCGATCCCAACCCGATCGTCAAGAAGCGTCGAGAAGAGTTTGCTTGCAACTTATGCGCGGCGTCGTTTAAAGGACAGGTGGGGCTAACAAGGCACCTTCGCTACTTCCACCCCCAGCAATACCAACATGCAGAACGCAAACGAGCTCGGGGGATGGAAGAGAGGGCCAAAACATTCCCTTTTCACTGCGATCACTGGGAGTTCGGAGCCCTAAGCAAGACAGGACTCTTATCCCACATCCGTCACAAGCATCGCTCCCCACAAGACCCGCCACGAGCAGTGACACCACGGCCCACATTATTTTGCCCAATATGTCGCAGGATCATGGGAAACGCTGGAGGACTGGCAAGCCACATGAAATACAAGCGCTCCGACGGAGTAAATAATAGGACACAGGGCCCAAACAAAGACACGCTAAGACCCTCTAGGGAAAAAAAAGGGGGTGGGGGAACCCACCGACCTGCACGCCACTGCCAAAAACAGGAAAAAGATGAAGCAGAATTGCCCCATCGTAAAAATCGCACGAGAAGAGAGACATCCTCCACCACAGAAGTGCTGACAAACCGCGAGGGACGAGACCCCTGCCGCCCGAGCGGGGGAAGGAAACACAATGCTTGGTGTGATTGGCGCGGTTTGCCGGCATGGGTTCAGTGGCGCCGCACCGCGGGCGATTTCATGAGGGCCAAAGGGTTTCAATAACAGGAAAACGCCGGCGGCTCCAGGAGGATGCTCCTGAGGGAACTGCCCCTCGCTGCCTTTGTATGCCCGACGTGTGGGCACAAGCGCCACAACAAACGCGAACCCACAAGACACCGCATGGGCAGGCATGGGTTTAGGCCGAAGACTGCGAAACAAAGCCAAAATGGCCAGTGTGAAGAGACGGGGCTGCACTTACAAAGCTTCCCCGCTTTAAAAAGCCCCCGGTGCAACTTTGGGGTGGACATGGCAACGGGGCAAAGCTATACTTCACGAGAACTTATGCCAAGTATCTTCTTGCAGTGGAAAGGCTTTGCCCTTAACGACCCCCACCGCAGGAAATGGCGGCCGCCGCAGGGGATGGGGGGCGGCCCATTCCCCCATCTAAATTTCGGTAGTTTATAGATTTTTGACTGGCTCAATGCCAAAAAACGCGCCACCCCTCTTTGCCGCTTCAACCCAGGAAGGGGCAAGTAGACCTACGGGGTCCTTGGTTAGGGGGAAAAGGCTTTCCAATTTCTTCGACGTGTGTTTCCTCGCCGGGCAGGCTCAACGAAATATATAACACAATACCAAAATAACGAAACGCATAACAACACAAAGGAGCATCTTTTCATATCAAAGATGGGCGGTGATAAACGTGCCCTGTGATGGTGGAAGGCGTGGCAGGGCAACCGGCGAAGCCCGAGAAGAGACAAAGAAAATCAAAAAAGGATAGGAGAGCAACACCTGGCTTCAGCCGTCGGTAAAGTGAGAGTTTCGGAAGGGCGAGGGCCATAATTCAAAAAGGAATTGGTATTAAATCGGTCNCAACCTGGTTTGGGGGCCGTCAATCAATTGCGTTGCGTCTTGGCGCCCGGCCTCCACCCCAAGCCGGCAGCCAGGAAAGCTGCCTTTTAGGACGCGTTTTCGCCCATATGGGCAAAGTCGGCCAGCCTGAAGCATTCAAACTGCAGGGTTTCTTCGATCGTACTGCCGAGCTTCAGCATTGTGCCAGGCTGTTGCGCGCGAAAGGGCGCGGGTAAGATGCCACGCGCATCCTGTTTTGAAGCACCTGAGAGCATCCAATGGTTAAGCCGATGCTATGAAAATTGGAAATAATTGGCCTTTTGCAGCTTTGAGGCAGAAAATGAATCCTGACTTTGCAGACCTTAGCGCGTGAGCAGGGTACAATCGAGCTAAATTATAGAAGCGATTGCATTTTCTTAGCTTCCCATCAAAAATGTGAGCAAGTTCTTCCCAACAGTCGAGCTCAACGGCAGAAGTTCCACATAAGAATGCTTCTTGGGTTATAAATTTTTTGAGAAGGATAAATACCTTTGAAGTGCATTTAGAAGAAATTAAGAACGAGTGAAGGTGATTGCTGGCAAAGACAGCAAAACGATATATTTCAGACTCTTTTTTTTTTCNGGGGGGGGGGGGCTGATAAATAAGCCAGCAGCGGGAAAAAACATAAGAATAAAAAAAATCTACTATTAAAAGTTTATAGTTGATCAATGCAGTTGGCTGCGCCGCTTAAGAAAACACAGCTTCAAAACCCTGATCCTTATCATCTTTGGTGGTTTAAAAAGACCCAGAACTTTGAGAACGTACTTCACCCAGTCCAAACCTTTGTGGTGCCGGCCGACTTATTACGGTACCAAGTTTCAGTACTTCGCTTTGATTGTGGAAACCAACATGGAACAAATATGGTATGACTGCCTACATCCCGTTAATGTCATGCACTTTGATGGGATCCAAATTTTACGACATTGAATTTTAAGGTCTTTTCCTCTCCAGATATTCTGCTTAAGCTTTGCTTGCGTCGGTGCGACCAGCAGCTGCAGGGCAAAGGGCCCTACCGCCTTGTTGGCAAAATCCGGAGACTGTTTTACACAATTTAAGCTGTAAATCAATCAAAAAGGTAATAAATACGGGGGTGTTCTTGGCATCGTGGCCGGCCCCTGGAAAAGCAGCGTGCGGGAGAACGGGAATTGTTTGGAGACGGCGGTTCTCTTTTGGGTGGTTGTCGCAGCATGGCCCTTACGCCTCTCTCAATATATTTTTATTTTTGTTTCCGCGTCAGGAACGCAAAGTTGTTTGTATTTTTCTTTGGATGTCCGGGCTCAAAATGCCAACAGTATGCTAAAAGAGCCAAAACAAATTGCTGCATATGAGAAATCAGAAGACTTTTGGAAAATCAATCTGGTAAATGCGTTTCTTCTAGAATCACAGAGATATAAAGGCTATACACGCACATAAATAAACATGACAAGACCCACACAAAGCAATGCACTTCTAGGAGTTAAAATATATATAATGCACTATTGGAAAAGCACTAACCCTTAAGGGCTCAGATTCGCATATGCAGCCATTGGTAGTCATTTAACCAAAAATAACCGCAATAGAACTTAAAAAGGGACCACCACACCAAACAGAATAAAACAGCCTCTGGAAAAGCCCAATAATAATTACGTTTGTTTAAAAAAACGCCCCGTGTGGTTGGATTGTTTTTTCGCACGCGTTCTCTAACACCCGGCGGCCCCCTGCAGCCTTTCAGCGAGGATGCTGCAAGGAAATCCTTTGTTGTCTTCTGAATTTATTGTCCTCCGTTGTCTTTTATTGCCGATTTGGTCAATTTTTTATTTTGAGGTCTATTTGGTTAAGGCCCCGCATGCTGTGAAAAGTGTGCTGGGGGATTTGGGCGGCCGTTCCCCCCAACCAAGGACCCCGTAGGTCTACTTGCCCCTTCCTGGGTTGAAGCGGCAAAGAGGGGTGGCGCGTTTTTTGGCATTGAGCCAGTCAAAAATCTATAAACTACCGAAATTTAGATGGGGGGGTGGGCCGCCCCCCATCCCCTGCGGCGGCCGCCATTTCCTGCGGTGGGGGTCGTTAAGGGCAAAGCCTTTCCACTGCAAGAAGATACTTGGCATAAGTTCTCGTGAAGTATAGCTTTGCCCCGTTGCCATGTCCACCCCAAAGTTGCACCGGGGGCTTTTTAAAGCGGGGAAGCTTTGTAAGTGCAGCCCCGTCTCTTCACACTGGCCATTTTGGCTTTGTTTCGCGGTCTTCGGCCTAAACCCATGCCTGCCCATGCGGTGTCTTGTGGGTTCGCGTTTGTTGTGGCGCTTGTGCCCGCACGTCGGGCATACAAAGGCAGCGAGGGGCAGTTCCCTCAGGAGCATCCTCCTGGAGCCGCCGGCGTTTTCCTGTTATTGAAACCCTTTGGCCCTCATGAAATCGCCCGCGGTGCGGCGCCACTGAACCCATGCCGGCAAACCGCGCCAATCACACCAAGCATTGTGTTTCCTTCCCCCGCTCGGGCGGCAGGAGTCTCGTCCCTCGCGGTTTGTCAGCACTTCTGTGGTGGAGGATGCGTTCCCCATTTTTGATGCATGGGAGGTTGTGGTGTTGCTTCATAGGTTTTGCTTTGCGTTATGGCGGGGGATTTTTGGGATGGTGCGTTCCGCCTCTATTGTTTGAAGGGCCTTGGCGAAGCTATCTCTGCTTCTGGCGTCGCTTTGGTAATGCCCATCGCGGTTCTCGCTTTTCATATTAACACCCATTTCGCAAGAATTGCCGCAGCCCTTCTCGGCGCATCGTGCCGCTTGCTTTGGGTTGTGGTTGCTCTGCGTTTGGCGGCTCTAGGGGGAGGCGTTGGCCCGAATGGGCGGTGAAGGGTAGCTTCGCCCCCGCTGGGCCTCTGAATCCGCAGTGCTCGCGTTGGAAAAATGAGTCTTTGGCCTTCTCTTCGGCCACCTCTGGGCGCCGGGGTTCCGCATTTGCGCCGCTGGTGGTGGTGGTGGTGGGGGTGCTGTGTTGGCCTCCTTTTCGCTTTGCCAGGCGCCGCCGGGTTTCGGCCTGCCCAGCCCGGGGCGCTTCCCGCAAAATCTTTTTTATAGGCGAGGGGGCGCCGCTTTTTTCTTCGACGGGCTGCTTTCCGGGGGGCGGCGGGTTTTTATTCACCGTTGTTGGGGGTTGGGGTGGGTGCGGGTGTGCCGTCTTTGTGGTCGTTCGGGGTGTGTGCTGCCGTCGTTTTGTTGGTTGTTTGTTTTGGGGCGGGGCGGTTTTGATTCAGCAGCTGGGGCGTTTTTTTATCAGAGTGATGAAAGGCGCGGCGTTAGTTAAAAAACACCTGTTAGAAATGCTCTCTTTTGGAGGGTTGGGTTGAATTTTGATTTTTTTCTTGACCAAACAGGTGAATAGGTTGCTGTTTCTTTTGAAGGTTTCTCTGCGTCGATGTTGGATTGATGGGCTATAAGTGTTGCAGGTAGCAATGTGAACTTGCTTTATTAATATGGTATGTATTTATTGGGGCTTAAAGGTGTGAGCCCTTTCGATCTTTGTCGTATACATCGGATTTCCGTGTCATGACCAACCTTTGACTGACATGCCATACGTACTGCGCATTCTTTGGCAAATGTGACACAAAGAAACGCTTTTATTACGAACGAAATCGATACCACATCCCATTTTATCTTGGTAAAGATGCGAACTCTTCTCTCCAGGTACGCAGTATATTCCCTTTCGGTGTATTCTACATCAATATTCCTCAGATAAATATTATGCAAGAAAGCAGAAAATTTCCAATTAGGGTTGATACTAGCGATCCCGGTCAGCAGTATTGGCTTTGATGCGACACTCACTGTATTTGACAAACAAGAAACCATTTGTGGTTGCCGTATATCATTAAAAGTGGTTTCTACATTTCAGAGTAACCCACTAGGATTATGAAGAGAAACAAAAGAAAGAGAATCCCAAGAAGTGAGCCAAACATAGCCCGGCAGTGAAGCAGAAGTATCAAGTATTACAAAATAATCTAATGCGTTTTCCCTGTTTAGCTCACGACAAAGACATAAATGTTGCCAGATGCTGACGCAAGAAAATATATTCCACGCAGTTTACCATCAATAGACAAAAAAGACTCTTTCCGTCCTCTTCTCTCATACTTTCTGACTTCACTGCTGCTGTAGTTTTCCTGTCCACAATGACTCTTTTCAACTTGGTTTTGCGACTGTGCTTGAAGATTGTGGAACAGTAAGGAAGCATATACTAAAAGAATCAGCAATGGGGGCTTGTGGATCGAAGCAAGATACGACAAATAAGGACGGCAAGACAGCTGAGGATCGCAAAGTTGCGTGGGAGCGCATC